ACGGTTCCTCACCTCCTAGTGATGATCTACACTAGTGCTGCTCTCTAGAGGTAAACAAGCAAGCCAATATGGCAGCACCCGTAACATTCAGGAAGATTACGGAGAGTCAGGCGAAGAAAGGCTGCCTTTGGTGAAGTTACTTGACGGATTTGGCTTATGTGAAGTGGATACATCAAACGATAGTCCAATCAGGGCTTACAGATGCAGAAGATACAATGACTGACGTAGGGCTCATCTCACTGCTAAGCAGAATCATCAGTGGAAATCATGTGGCATGGTAGGGGAGCTAGTATTTTTATGAATGTCTGAATTTTCATGATTACGGAGACTGACTGTAAGGGGTCTGCTCCTGCGCTCTTTGTTATCCGAGAACCAAGCCAGAACTAAATCATGCCGAGCCCTACTGATGAACTAGTAACATGTCAGCGCTGGTCAGTTATGTGTGGCATGGTCCAGCTCAGTTGTGCATGTAATTTACACTCAAAAGTTGTCTTGGTTACCATGCTCAGACCGATCTCAGCAAGGTTTCAAAAGGGTAGTGTAAATGGGGCTATAGAAGTTATCCATAAATACTTTCTGTGTTACAAAAGGTAACAGGAAACTTGCTCCATTGGTGACTATGTCTAGGAAAGAAACAATTAAGCAGATGTTTTAGGATCTTAATTTCATGTCAAAAAGGATCAAGAAGAGCTAATAAAGTCAGTCACATTAAAAGCTGTGCCCATAGCTATGTCTAGGAGAGAAACAGGACAAAACACTAGGAAGCAGACCCAACTCTATAATCTAAGATGGAAGTTGTTGATGGTGGCAGCCCAGCTGACACATAGCCATGTAGAACTGCAATATGCAAATCTGACAGTTTTTATAGTTTGCATTAAACAAAGGTAATAGTAAATACAAAATGCGGTTGTCAAACGATGATTTAATAAGAAGAGAAACTATCCGTACAAACCTGCCACAATGTTAAAATATATTTACTCTCTATTGATTAGCTGTAAATAGCCCTTCAGTTTCAAACTGTAACCAGGCATGATTCCATCTGACCCCAAAATTTAAAAAAGTCCATTAAACAGAACCTGTCTGACAGCATGGATCAGTTGTCAGGTGGGAGTTCCAGGCAGGCTCGGACTGGTAATCTGCGATGCCAGGCATTTGCCCAGTGGGCCGGTCCTAATTTCAGCGTGCGAGGGCCGGCCCTACTTCAATTGTACCGGCCCGAACACCTACTTTCTGGCCAAAGCATCTACCTGTGACAGTAAATAACTCAAGGAGCTCAAGAAGTAATACAATGTTAACTACCTAAATGATGCATGTAGTATATATAGCCCTTCCGTCATGCACATTCTTGTGACGGTTGGTATTTGGTGTAATTTTCTATTTCTTCAAACTGTAAAATCCTTGCAACACACTACATTATAATAAAACAAAAATTTGTTCTTTAAACTAAACTACGATGTTCCTCTTATATTTGGCAAATTTATGTTCAAATATTTTGCAAACATATGTTGCGGTGCACAATGGGGTTTTGCATCTAAAGGCTAACGCTTCCCATCTTACGTGCATTGTTGCCAGGTTGGAATGTTTCCCATTCTGACAGCTTAGTATGGCCGTCTATGAGTAAAAATTTATTTTCTTTGGATTTATGGCCTAAGAGCTCAATAGACTTTGGTTCTAATTGGGTGAGATTTCGTATATACAGGCGGTTTATGAATATTTTTTGGGCTGGAAAACGTGAGTCAGTGAGATCTGGCAACCCTACTGGACATTACACTGCAGCAGTCACTGTTGCGTCCGTGTTAACCACCAAAACTAAAAACCGCATTATAGAAATCTTGGTGATGGTTGATACTTGAAGATAGTTCGGTTAATCCACGATGTGTAATCATATTGTGTTTCACATTTGAGATGCACGCATTTGACTGTGGGGGGGGGTGTCGCCTCAAGTAGTGGACAATCTACCTCTCGGATTCATCTCCTTCCTCTGGGATCGAACTGAACTCTTAACCAGATTAGTGACTTTTGCTCAGCCCCAGCTGACGAGCAGCCACTGTATTGTATTTAATAGAGGCTTGTTTGAAACTTGTCCAGATCTGTCTGCTTTGAATATAGGGTCCAAGGTTCCAAGGTCCTGACAAAACCAAGGCTGAGCAGAATGACTCAAAGATCCATCTTTTTTCCTGAACATCTTGGTGATCCTTTGATTAATAGTGTTTTGAGAATATTCTGCTGACTGATGATTAGAAAGGATCCTGTTACATCTGTTTTGAAACTTGTAGCTTTTCAGAAAGGAGCATTCTAACAGGGAAGCATGGTGGTGGTTGAATGATGGTCCAGGGATACTTAGTTGCTTGTGTACCAGTATGACTTGTCATCATTGATGGAATTAGTTAAATGCCCAGCTCCACTACTTTCTAAAACTAAGCAAGCTCATTTGGTTCATGGTTACTGAGGTCAGGCACACTTGGATTAATCAGTCTGTCCAGTAATAAAAGGAAGGAAACAAAGGAGGTGACTAAAGCTCAGGAAGAAGTGGAGTTGGGGATATAGCCCTTTGGCTAACAATAAATTGGCTAACAGAAAAACCTTAAGCCTCTTTCCCTTGAAATTAGCAGGTTAACAGGGTCTACCTGCTAACAATCAGCATTTATATATCGAATTTGTCTGTACCATGAACACCAAGTCAAATGCTTTCGCAGTGCAAGCCTACTTGGTAATAAATCTGATTCTGATTCTCTCCCTTCCCCCTCTCTTGGGAAAAAAGCTAATTCGGACCTCCTGAAGGTAAACTGCATGGCCTGGGTTACCGTTGATGATGTAATCGGTGCAACTAAAATCAGGAAAGTAAACAATGAAGAACAACATTGAAGGGAGCCAGGGCATAGAGATAGTGCTTTATTGCTTCACACTTTTATCTGTCCGATACTCTCTTACCAGTGTTGCGCCATGTTCATCAATGTAAGCAGAGTTCTTTAGGATCGTTAGATCAGATGCCATGGGTGCAATGAGTTGAATTCCGTACATTGTGCTCCATAGTATCAGGTAAATTAGCGGCTTGACCTGGATCTGATGTTCCCACAATATGTCAGTCTGAGCCGAACCGTTTGAAGGCAATTTCACCCTGGGTTTCTTACTGAGACGTTTGAACTAGGTCGACAGGGATAAGTGAGCTGTTCCCACTGCCACTTAAGGCTGACTCTTCCAGAGTTTAAACAGGGTTTTCAGACAGTAATATACAAAGTTTTCTGGAACCAGGAGTCAGTGTTATTTATCGGACAAAGTTTCATTTCTAACGTAATATTTCTGGGCAAAATATTTCAGGGGGTTGTCGACCTCAGATCCAGTTTCCTCACACCACAATCCAATGTGTATCTCTGAGTCAAAAAAACCCTTTTTATTTGTATAAAGGAGTCCAAACCTCTACATCGGGATTGTTTTTGGCAGCAAAATTTATTTCAACAAACAATCGGGTCATAATGTAATGTCTAATCAGTGAAGTCTAAAACCAGCCCATTTTTACAGAAACAAATTTGATTTGAAAATGTACAAAAACAGGAGTAGTTATGGTTAACTACTCCTAAATATCCCGTCAGACTGATGCAAATGCTGCATTGTGTGAGACTTAGAAAGTATAAAACAAACTCTTGTGGCCTTAGCTCAGGATCTGCATTGTTTAATCACTATAATGAGGTCACATTAGCCTAATAGCTTAAAGTTCTTTGTTTTTTTTTTTTCTTGTTTTCTTTTTTTGTTTGTTTTTTTTTTTGTAGACAGACCTGGTGTGACAACCTTCTGTGGCCACTTCTTATTTCACTTTGCTTTTCCCTAGAACAGCCAGGTAAAGATTAGTTGGTTATTCTCCCCCAGTCTGTTTGGTTCCACTTTCTCTCACTCTTCTAANAACCTTCTGTGGCCACTTCTTATTTCACTTTGCTTTTCCCTAGAACAGCCAGGTAAAGATTAGTTGGTTATTCTCCCCCAGTCTGTTTGGTTCCATCTTAAATCTGTCTACTAACTTTCCACTATTTATCCTTTTCATGCTATTCCTTAAAAGTACAAAAGTAAATTATATCGCACAGTGAGTATTTTGTGTTTTTAGAATGGCTCCTAACTGCAGCAAGCCTTACGAAAGGTGTAATAGTCGGCCGAACACATGCACGCAGCCTGACTCATACACGCCATGAAAATAACCAGAGGATTAAAATCTCTACTGATTCACTAGGCAACTGACAGCTCAAACCGTCATCAGTTCACCATTATAGCCAAGTGTTATTTTAAGCATTTAAGAGCCAGTTTTTAAACATTTAGGATTTTGATTTTAGACAAAATAAACATCTTTATATAAGCCAACAATTGCATCTATAGCAACAGCAGATTGAGGTTGAATAGAAAAAGGGTGTATGATAAAGAAAAAAAGCAAATGCACCAATGTACCCATTTATAAAGGGGCCCCGTGTGCTAGATGTGCTTACACCCTGGACAGGTATGCGCTATGCAATTACAAGACTAGCTCACGGTGTACAATTATCTGTAGGTGCAGTAGCATTAAGTGAGGGGGCAACGTTGAAAACAACTTTAAAGACAAAGGGTGGGTTTCAGGTGTTGAGATTTACCTCACCTGACTAATTTTTCTCCCTTATAGTTGAGCTAGGTATCCTCAGCTATGAGGGAAGACCTGCTGCATGGCCTGGGCTGCAGTGGGTGTAACCAAGCATGGGAGAATGTGTGTGGGTGTTTACCGTTTTAAAAATAGGGCAGGCCTGACAAATCAGATGTTTGTTTACGTTTGTCTCTAGAGGGAACCGTGTGAATGTTGCTGTGATTGTGACTAAGTCTGCACATGCGGTATGAGGCTGTGCGACAACTCCATCACCAGTGACAGTCAGAGTGTAGAAATGATAAGAAAGTCAAAGTATGATTGCATATTTCTGAGGAAGTATAAATAAGTTGATTGCTCTTCTAATCTGAAAAAAAAAAAATAATAACAAGACATTCATGTTTACCCCAATATGTACTTATTGAAGTTTGTCTGAGTTGCATATATGCGTGTGTGTACAGCCATGTCTGCAGGGTGAGGTGGAGGCCAAGGCTTTGGCAGCAGGTCTGGCACGTCTTTCAGGCCCAAACCTGCACAGGAGAGAGGGGAAAAACTGAAGAGGCAGAAAGCAAATAGGTGTGAGTCTACCTGCCTTCATGTGACAAGCTTCACTTATTCCTGACCATCATTATAAGCTCCCAACACAGTTTAAGGAAATTAACTCTGTCTCTGGATTAACTCCACATCCACTGAGTAAGCCTATCAGCATAGCCCAAAACACATCAGGATAACTAATATATAATCTCCACTTAAATATTTATGTACCTTTATTTGTTTGCATCTCACTGGGTGGTCACTGTTTCCACTTGTTACACTTTATTATGTTCTCTTCTTCATGTTTTGAGTTAAGATTCATATCTGTACATCTTTTCCACCACAGAACAGGCAGCAGGCATGTGGGGCAGACTTGTTTTTGCTTCGCCATGTCAGCCAGGCGCATCGCGGCTGATGAATTCATTGTATTTCAGTAGTCACGCATTCCAGGAATGCGTTTAAAGTCTATTTGCGGTGCTCATATAGTTTGTCTCTCCTACAGCTGTCCACACAATTTGGCTTTTTATTATGATTTGAACTTCCTGGGGTTTAGTTGGTTTTAGGTGCCACCTTATTAAATAAATTATAATGGGAAGCACATAAATCCCATATTTAAGCAAACGAATACATAACTTAAACGTTACCACTCTGCTGCAATTAAATGAAACCAATAAATGTCCTCAGCTGTTTAATTATAAGATATTGTTTATGCATTAGAACCTTTTTTTGATTAATCTGGTGAATTTAGATTGAAAGTAAAGGTAGCAGTCAACTTATTTATTTTATTGAGTAAAAAAATGCAAACTAACTGCTGATTGAAATGTTTACATACACTCACCCTTTAAAGAAATGAATCGTTTTATCATTTTTCATCTTTATCTAGATAATTTAGTTCAGATTGTAAAATTCTATATTTTTATTACACACAAGGTGCTTTATTTCAAGTGATTATGTGTTTTTATATTAATGATTAGGGTTTAGAGATCATTAATATGTATTTTAACTTCATAGGCATGTGCCAAGTCCTGCTTGTCAACAAAGGGAATCATGAAGTGCTTTAAATTTATCATTTAGCCTTGATAAAACTCAGTGGACCTACACCAGCAAATTAAGTCTATCCAAATAATTACTTCGTGGCCTAGGCCGGCTCTACAAGCTGAGAAAATTTCTGTTGGTTATACACCTTTTATTAAAACAGTTTTACTTTCACTTAACATCTGTTATTATGCTTGCATACAGGGCTATGTATACAACCAACTTCTTTAGCAATGACCTCTTGTACCATTGCCCTCCTTATGGAAAGTGTCAGTGACTTTGTTGGACAACTGTCAAGTCAACAGTCTTGTCCATGGTTGTGCCAGTGATGGTAACCTTAGGCCATTGCACAAAGTGGATGAAATTACATAGATGGAGTACTTTATATTCTTTATATTAAGACTGTATTTATAATTTTGACCCTGTGTGAATTAAGGAAATTATCTAATAAAAGTCCAACTTGTGCATCAAAGTTTTGTTTCATACGGCGCAATTCCACTTGAAAAAAAAGAAAAAACATTATTTAATTGATCAGACTTTACACTGTGCTTTATGAATAATGGGGATGTTCTTTGCACAAAAATGTTAAGTTGTTCAGCAATCTTTGTTTATTAGGATTAATGTGAACCAGGACAACATCACATTTACCAATGAGCCTTGCAAGATTTAAATGCATTTAAAATAATAGAAAATAAATTTATGCATTTAGCTTAACATGCCTCTGTCTGGCCTACCGGCTGAACTCATGTGTCCTCAGTTTTTTTACTTTCAATGGTAGCCATTATGGAGTTAATTTTAAATTTAGTGAACAGCACTCAGGATACTGTAAGATAAAAGGATTTCCTCTATAATATCCATCTTATGTCTACACTTACACGGAAGGACTTCTAAAGAGAGGATGTGTCCCCTGAGGCAGAAAGTAAATCACTGTCCATTGTGACCATTGCATAAAAGTGGCATTACGGAGTGTATCAACTCTATAACCTCAAAGGAAATCTCTATTCAGCAGCAATAAAAGAACGCCTTTGCTCTCTATTGCTGTCGGGCCAGTTATAGAAAGAAAGAATGGATTAAGGGAGAAAACAGACAGAAGAAAAGTTGAGAGCACACAGGTGAAGTCCTATGGCAGTGGAGGTTTGCTCAGCTGTGTTCTATTCTTTTAGGCGCCCCACCCTGCAACCAAAGACTGGGATATCTTTCCATTTCACTCTCCCCCACCCTCCCTCCCCTCGCTATATCTTTCTCCCGCTTTCATATTTGCACAGGTGAGAGGACAGCCGTCCAATGAGTGTGGGTGGGAGACCTGAAAGTCAGGTTTGCCTGGCTGGTTGGTTGAAGGAGTGTACCTGAGGACTTGTGGATAGAGGGAGATCTGTTCGCAGGGGCCCAGCCAGGTTTTTGTCTGAAGAGACAGACAGCAAACACATAATTATTGAAAAATTAATCAATTTGAAGTTGATTAGTCTCGAACCATGGTAAAATATTAACATATAGGATATGAGCTGCATGAAATCAAATATAATCTGCTATACTGGGAGAAGAAAATGGAGGTAGGTGGAGCAAGACCGGAGTAATATTGGGTGGGGAGGTTTTGCCACCTGGGCCAAAAGTTCAGAGTAAGAGAAGGTAACCTTAGCCACCATGTGCCAGAGTCTCACGTGTTCTCATCCCTGTCTTAACAGACTGGAGCTCAGGTTTCTGGCTCATCCAGGCCCCCTGGGAGATGAGGTCCTCACAAACACCCCCTCCTGCCCCCATCTTGACCATCAACTTCTTAAGCCCTTTGCCCCACCCTCCAATACTAGACACACATTATAGACAAACACATACATAATGTATTACTCCATGAGTGAACTGAGCACACATAAGAGTGCAGGCTTAACCACAAGAAACTCCACATTACCCCACAGATACAAGGAAAACAAGGCTTTTGACAAGTCCAAATAGATGAACTGATCAAATCACAGCACTCCCGTTCCTTATTAGACTAAAATGTTAAAGGTCTACTCCGGCTGTGTTAAAAAGTATATTCTGAGTATAAGGTAACAAGAGCAGCCAGAGGAATAAGTTATAAATCAATAAAATCATCCTTACTTCCTACTCGAGAGTGTTGCTCAGACGTATGAGGTGGGATTATCTGACATATGCACACCTGAAGCTATTCTCTCCTGTCTCTCCTTCTTTTGTCCTCCTTTGCTTCTGAAATTCCCCTAAGGGAAAATAAACTTATTCATAACATTCTTTGTGAGAAATAAATCATATCTACATAACATAAAAATATATAGTTCACGTTTGTTTTTTAAGCAGTCAATCTAAAAAATATAGGTTTTAAAATGCATTATAGTTTTGTAAATGCCAAAAAAATATATGAAAATGATAATTGTTCAGAAAAGTATTATAACAATTTAGGGAAGCAGATGCAGATGCAGCAGATGTAGAACATTCTGCCAAAACAAGTCTTATAGAGACATGAGCCTCACTGTGAGGAGGAAAACATCATCATTTTATATTGGAAATGCATTCAAGGGCAAGGACTTTGAAATCGGAAGATATTCATTTGGTCGTCATAAACATAGTTATTGATTTTTAAGGAAAAAAAGGAAGAATGTGTCTTTTGAGAGCACCATCACAACTGTTACTGTTAGGTTTACATGTTTTTTCATCAGGCTATAAAGGGTGCTTTGGTCTACAAGGGTCTGGTGCCTTTCACAAAGCAGGGGGGAAAAAAACATTTGGTAAAATTACTGAAGGAACATCTCAAGATAGATCTAAGAGAAATTTAGGTTTTGTTATAAATGGGTCTTAGAGAGCCAAATAAGTTTAAAGAATGTTTCTTTTTTTAAGTGGCTATCAAAAGCTTTTATCTCTGCTGCACACTAGTAAGTGTGGCCTCCAAACCTGACTATGTTACAGCCTTTCTGTGGGGAGGAATGGGCTAAAACTCCACAAGCTATTGTGAGATGATTTTCAAATCACAACCAAATTATATAGCCACAGAGATTGGAATGCAAGCCTGCCAGATAATGACATCTCTGAATTTGAAGAAAGGTAAAAAATATATATACATATTCTCCCTCTATTTTTCTAGCATTTAGCTTAAATAATTAACTATGGTTTTGCTAACAGAAGGCAAGGCAAGTTTATTTATACAGCACATTTCGGTAGCAAGACAATTTAAGTTTCTGTACATGCAACAAACATAACGGTAAAACTCTGAGATTAAAGGATTAGTATTTAAGTGTTTAATTAAACGAATATTTCACAAGAACATTTTTTTTAAAGTGCAAGAATTTAAAGAAATACATAGTTGATGGATAATAACACAAAAGAAAGTTTGACTGCAAACTTAAAGTAATGCAGCACAGTCAAAGGCAGCCTTAAACATACATTTTTTTTATTTTAATTTTCATCAATGTATTTGCCTGATTTAATGTCAGGAATCAAATGTATATTTTCTGCTGCATTCATATTTTACATTGAAACTTTAAATTATCACTACAGGCTGTATTTCTTCTAAAATAACTGCTATTTTTGCATTGTGAGTTAAGCTGCATAAAAAGCAGTAAGAAAAAGTTAAGTAAATGATGCTTCCTTTGTGTTGTTGAATAAACACACCTGTGCTAGCTATCTGTTTCTGTAAGGGGTAATGCAGTTGAATAACTGTCAACGCTTGACATGTAAATTGATTATATTTGCATTAAAAAGGTTTTAACAGACAGAAAGGGATTCAAATTTTTTAGGTTTGAGGGTATGAAAATTACCAAAAGATTAGACAAAAAGAAAGTCATTATGCCTAGAACAAAGATAGAAACAGATCTTCACTTATTCAATTTGATGCATTGCTGTCGAGCATTTTAGACACCAAACTGCATGTGAATTATTCCTTCAATCTGCGATCAAGAAGTTGACATTTCATTTACCTTTCTTCAGCAATGAGCTTGTTGGAGCTTTAACCAAGTAAATTTAAGTTTTACCCTGCTTCTGCCTGAAATAGCTCTGATGACATCAGCCTCTCCTGACGCATAGATTTCTTTATAAAATAACTCAGATAGTTATACAGTAGTAGTATAATCCAGAATTTCTTCATATTTTGATGCTTAGAGTCTGATATTCTTGTATTGTGTTATAAACGACCTTGATAATAAATTAGTCAGTTTGTCGTGGGTGGAGAATTACCTGTGAAGTACCCAATAAACTCTTTTGAATAACATTAAAACTGCTTTTTGAGTTTGGAAAACCCTATTAGTCATTTTCTCTACAAGGTACAACCTGTAAGAATTGTTTTTCTATGGAATGAACAATACTAATCGGAAGAGCAGTGCCCGGCCCAAACATGTGCCACTATCCACTCCAACTTTATTTTGAATTCAGTGTAGCTTTGACCTTAATGTGCTGACAGGTTGATGCCAGACCCTGGTACCGGACTAGCATCTGATTGGAAACTAAGTGAAAACAGTTGAATAAAACTTGAGTGCACTCCAAGCTTCAGCAAGCCTGTACTATATAAAACAGGGTAACTGGAAGCTAATGGAGCTGTAACAGTTTTGGAGGAAGATCTGAGCAGAGGTAGGTAGAAACAAATTACCAACCTCTACCTAACTCTTTACTTGAGTTCGTTTTCACACCATATTCTTCCTGCAATATACTTTGTAATTTTTCTAAATGAAAGGAATTAAGTTTTTCCGTAAAAAAATCAAAAAATATCCACTGGACTTGGTTTCCAAGATTTGAAAAGGGAATTAAGGAATTCTTATCTTATCTTACTTTCGATTTTACTTGGACTAAGGTAATTGCATGATGAATGAACTCTACTCTCACTTGAGGACACGTTTAAGCAATTCTCTACCCAGCTCTGGTCGTTTCACTGAGTGAATAGGGAGACCAATTCTCTCATTTGCACAACCTTCTTTCTCTCTGCTGAGCCTCCGGAGCACTGAAAAAATAAGGCAACCGTTTCAATCAATCAATCAAACTTCTTTACTGTTAACTACAATTTACATTGCAATCGAAATTTCAGTTTCAGTACAACCGTTCATTGAGAGGGGAACGGATTGACTAAGGCCATGAGTGCCACAGAACGCTGCCATTTGGTGGAACGGTACATTCTTATGGCTTGCCAGGTTCCCACCAGTATCTGGCTTCCTAGGTCCCAGGCGGTTACATATAGCGCTTCCTTTTATCTCTGTGGAACAGAGAGAGAAAAAAATAAGGCAACCGTTTCTGGCATTTAATTAATCATATTTAGTTTAACAATTTTTTTTCATGTTTGCATGGTAGGACATAAATCAGTTGTTTTACAGTCACTAAATGGCAATTTTACTGCGATTATTAGAAATGTAAATCCATAGACCAGTTAACACTATTAAAAGAATGTGATACTTATAGAAAATATTGGCTGAAAAGGCTTATGTTGTAAAGAAAATAAAATTAAACAGAGTGTTCCTGCCTTAACTGCAATTTTTACACATCTTTTTATCTTTATTTGAAAATTTTTATTGCTGCCTGTCTGATACCACTCCAAAACAATAAATCAGATATTTCAAGTTATGCAGTACTTAAGTACTTTTGCAGTTATCTTCTATTGGCTGCTCTCCATTTATCCTTGAGTTGAAGGTGATGAAGTAAGATCAAGTCGATTGTAAAAGTTTTGCAATGACATCTGCGCAAAACACGCAACTGATGACTTAATTTAAGTACTGTAGATTAGAAGGTGTTTGGGTAACATCAAAACCTGCCTTTCAATTGATTAATTTCTATAAGCTTTATTTTGATATTTTTACCAAAATGCTTCATGAAATTTGAACTTTATTTTATACTACATTTGGTGTTATGTGACAGAACTGACATTCTGATCCATGGGGGGGCCATGACTCTCGTCTCCCTAGACAGCAGTTCCTGCTGACAAGGTGATGAGCCTGATGGCCCTTGAAAAGAATAAAAGACCCCAAGCTTTAAGGCTACATAAACTGCAGTAGGTGGGGCCTCCTGCAGGTAAATGCAGTCCCACCTGATTAGCTCAGAAAATGCAATTCTAAGATATCTCAAAAAAGATGAGGGGAACTAAGAAAACAAAACAGAACTAATTTATATGACCTGGCAGAAGGGCATCGAGTTAAAGGAGATATGATTTCTATAACTTGTTTTTAAATTCCTATAAATATACAGCAAAAATTAAGTGCCATTTTTGCTTTGTTTGCATTTGACTCAGGACCCAAAGACATTCAGGACTTTTTGATTTTGATCACATTTTCAAATATCAAGTTTGCATTAAATTCCACTTTAAGAGCTGATAATGATCACGTTGGTCAAAGGAAAGGTTTGATCGGCAGATGGCCGCTCACACTGAGCCTGGTTCTGCTGGAGGTTTCTTCCTGTTAAAAGGGAGTTTTTCCTCTCCACTGTCGCTACAAGCATGCTTAGTGTGA